GAACTACTCAAAATTTCTGCTACTGGTTCCCAGAACTGGTCAGAACCTGCTGAATACCACCTCTGACCTCTTATTAGCTACTAATTACAATTTTATTTGAGTATACTCTTTTTTACTATTAGATTTACCTGAATTTATTTCTTGACAAAGTAATATCCAGGGCCAAAACTACAGATAAAATTAAGGCATTTGATCTGATGTACATTTTCTCCAAGAAACCTCTGTGTTGCCAAAACTCTCCCCACTGCTTCTCTAGGCGCACATTCCATCACACTTCTGCTCTACTGTACTTCATCCATTATTTTTTTTTTTTGCTCTATTTTGCTTTAAATCTCCAAAAACCATCTGGCCATTTCTGACCATCCTTGATCATTCTTTAGATTGACTTTGTTTGAAGCCCATGAAAGACTAGGTAGAATGTCTCTCAGTAAAAATATTATGCAGGAACACTAGTATTATTAGTAGCTCAATTATTTTGATCCCAGAGTGCATGACAACATAGTTATTTCAATTCCTGTTTAATGACATTACCAAACCTGAACGTACTATACTGAACATTTAAAATAATCACATTTCCCTGAGTTGAAACCAAAACTGTAAGGAAGAAAGCCATTAAATGCTTGGATACTTCCAATAAATTCTATTATCAGTTATAACTAGTGATTATTATTTGTCAAGATCTGTGAAGAAAGGACCTTCATGCTATTAATATGCATGTGCATATTAAAATACATTAAAAAGTAGCAATAAATGTGGTTATTTTTTAAATATTTAACATTCCCATTAAAAAACAATGAATAAATATGACTGGCATTGTACTCTGCAAAAATACTGAAAAATATTTTGAAATCAAAAAGACATCCACAAGGAATAAAGTATTTTATAAATACTAGGCCATATCTTTTGATATTTTGTCTTTTTACAAAGTCTGAAACTGATCACAAGGTAATTCTCCAGTGTGAGAAAGGTTCCCCCCCCACATCAGCTTAAAAAGTTACCTTATAAAGTTTTCTAATGGAAAGAACCAAGTAGCCCAAGCATTTTTGTACACATAATAAAGTTTATTTTAAAAATGTCTGTGGTACTCTATTTTCTCCACTATATCAATATCTAGTTTGCTGGACGGTAATAGCATTTGTTTAGCCTTGTTTTGGAATTTCATAATACAGAAGTCCAAAGTAATAGCTAAATTAGATTATATCCTTTGTTAAAGCCACCTTTGGTGGCATTGTGTCTCTCTCTAGCAATTGGAGGACAGACTTCTAGAAAATAACTTTTGAAAATAAAATGTTTTAAGGTCTAGATGCATTTTTATGACTATTTAGAAATTCAGCCACATACCTGAAAGGCTGATAAGACATAGAGCAAAGATCCCCTGTAAAGTTTTGTCACTATCGTACACTCACAAACACATACTACCAAAACCAACAAACAAAAATTGATTTCAGTTCTATTACTTAACTTTTTTCTTAGCCTGTAGACTGAAGGATTTGGTGCTATTTTTCTCTCTGTGTGGTGCATCCCACCACACAGAGTTGGCGTGCTTGCAGAGAGGGTTACAACATCTATTTTTAATAATGTGCCTCCACTACTGTGAGAGCATCCAGTGAGTTTGTGGCTGCATTTCACTGATGTTGTAAACAGAGAAATTACTAAATATGATATACTCCATGTGTCTATCTGTGGGGTGGAGCACCATGCAGAGACAAAAATAAGACCTAAACAGCATTGCAAAGCCATTTCCAAATGTCTGAAAACTTCAAAGGTACGTTCAGTTCCTACTCCCTTTCTTGCTGAAGTTCCAGTTATATGTTTATCAACGTAGTGTATGATCTTCCCACTTGAATTAATTATGCTTAGTCCTCTGACATGCTACATTTACATATTTCTAATTTTAGGACATTAGCTCTCAGAACAAAACAAAAATAGTCAAAAGGAACTTGCATAGAATGCCTGGTGTGTGTCCACAGAGAAATGGGAAAGGATTCCCCCTCCTGCATGTAGATTGATTCTACATGTTTCAGGCAAAACAACTACATGCCAAGTTTCTAGTGGTATCAGTTAAATAATCTTGCATACTGCAGAAATCAACCTTTAGGCTTCAAATGTAAAAAATAAAAAATAAAAAAAAAAATCTTCGGAGTATCTATCCACAAGCTCAAATATTTTGATAATTAATCACCAAGTTTTGTCCTTTGTTGGCTTGCTTTTGTTTTCCTTCAAACTCTGTTAACTTTCTTATTGCCTTCATGTCTGCGGAGTGGGGGGTGATGGAATGTAATTTATGGGGATATTTCTCTACTTTGAAATTGGTTCTACAGAAGCAGTCAGCATTTCTTCTATTATTTATTATCATTATATTTATCTTTGCAGGAAGTCTCAAAGATAGTTTAGACTGACTGGCTGATAGCGGCCAGTGAGTTTCATAACTGAGTTGGAATTTAAATGTGGATGTCCCTAATCTGGTTTAATGCTCTATTACTACAAAACATTCGTACTTATATCCTATATTCTAATGGCCACTAACAACTTTTGTACCCTGAGAGCACTCCTGGAAAGTGATGGGCAATTTTTTTTTGAGGCTTCGCAGCAGTACATAATAAATCTTAGCTCTCCATATCTTTATATTATCCAGGTTTGGATAATATAGGTTTGATTTAGCAGAAGTGTCTCAGTATATCACTTGATTAAATTATATTAAATTATATTGATTAAATTATATTAAATTATATTAAATTATATTGTCCATAATAATATATATATATATATATTATTATTATTATGGACAAGAATGCAACTTAAAATATAATAGATTATTTGCCTTCTGCAGCCCATAGAAATTTTTTTTTTTAATTTTATTTATTTTATTTTTATATGCCACCCTTCTCCGGAGACTCAGGGCGGCTTACAATGCGTTAAGCAATAGCCTTCATACTTTTGTATATTTTATACAAATTCAGCTTATTGCCCCCACAAACCAGGTCCTCATTTTACCCACCTTAGAAAGGATAGAAGGTTGAGTCGACCTTGAGCCTGGTGAGAATTGAACTTGCAGTAATTGCAGGCAGCTGGATGTTAAATGCTGCCTTAGTAGGAGGCATTAGCCTCCTACGCCACTCAGGCTGCCTATTAAATTAAAGCTTTTATATGGGTCTCCCTTTAAGAATTTAGGCTCTGGAGACAAAATCGATTCTACTTTAACTGAATCCATCTGAATTTCTTTTGGGGAAATATACTAATCCCATAGTTCAAAACAGGCATAGTAAAGGTATATTTATTTAGCTTACCTTCAAACTGTAATTAAGGCATTGAAAAACTGCTCAAACTTTATTGGTGTGGAGGTAGCATTCTCAGAGTAAATCAAAAAATTGTCTAGAGATACATAATTCAAAACTGCTTTAAAAATCATGGAAAATATGATTCACAAATCTTTGGAACACTAACAATGTCAATCCCTCAAAAGACCATTACTATACATGCAAACTTTCTATAACAAGAATCAAAGGCAGTTAAATATTCATGATCCTCTTTCATGAAAATCAGATTGTAAATCCTTGTGAGATCCAACGTGATAAAAACGAATACTCTCTATGGCCATTCGGAGAGTTTAGGAATGAGAAAAGGCTGGAGAACTGGTACAGGAGCGAGGATGGACAAAAGCTTTCTCTACACTTTCATTCACAAATTCCTTTAGATTGATTATTTCTGCCTTTGACATTGGATAGAGGCAATTTGAGGTGCAATATAAGCTCTGAGAATAAAACTGATAGTACACTTGCAGAATCAATGAAGCAGTATCTTTCCTTCTCCCTTCCAAGCACATTGGGATAGACTACCAATATATAATTGAAGGCAATAAGAAACTTGAAGTAGCACAGGGATGAACCATGATGGAGGTTTGAGATGCTGCAGACTATAAGCTTTTCTTCCCAGATATGCAAGAGTGAAGGTGAGTTGTGGAAGTTCATTGTGCTTAATGATGAATTCTAAATATAAGAATGGACCATAAGTAATAGGGACCAAGTTGAGTAGGCAGACCACTACATTCTGCAGTAGCTTTTGTGCCATCATATACTAAAGTTAGTAATTGCACTTCATAAACAATATAGATCTGTAGAATAAAAGGAATGGCCAAACCATTAGTAACTTCACATAGTTTCTGGTTGTTCTTGACTCAGAGTTCTTAGACGTTGTATTATATTGGTGCTAGAGATGCAGAGAGTCTAGTAAACCTTCTGTAAATTGTCATAAATACATTCTTCTAAATAAGCCATTTTTTTGTCCAGTTAGTAGTGTTTAGTGAGGTCCTGGAATCCATTTTTATTTTCAAATGAGAAATCTCTTTATAAACTACTCAAAGCAGCTAAAATCTTATTTCCTTTGTCACATTCTTTTGCCAGTTTTAAAAAGAAAAGGCAATCTATATATGCATCTATAAATTGTTTTTAAACAACTTTTTTTAGGAGATAACAAAGTCCTATTAGCTGGGTTTAACATCAGAAATCTGTAATGAGACCATGAATGCACAGATGGTATATGGTGGCTTCAGCTACTACTGACATAGACTCTCCAATATTCCTTCCATGAGCCCTGTTACACTCACCCCAATTCTTGAGGAGATCCCCTTAGGTATAATGTCACTAAACCATTTTGCCACTGATTTATCAGAGTGGAGGTTAAATTGGAGAGGAGGCATGCATTAAAGGCTAAGTGCTTTTCCTAGAATAAGCCCCATAAGTTTATTAAGAATTTAAATGCTTACAGTGTTTTTTCACAATTTTTTATTTTTATTCAAAACATTAAAATACAAAAAATACAGAAACAAAACACAACTAAACAAGACTACACAAAAAGAGCACATAAAAAAAACCATATACATAAACGGTCCCCCCCCCCTTAGTTGAATACTGATAAATATACTTCAAAGATAATAATTCATCCCCCCTTGCAAAGCAGGTACACGAAACAACAGACAGCTATAAGGAAAAGAGTAGACTCACCCTCTGACTGCTCCCCACTGAGAAGTGCTATCTTTTAGGTCCTCTTCTCAGTCATCCAAGAGTCATCTTGAGTCATTCAAAGTAGCTCCCATTCAAATCTGGGAAGTGTGCTACCAAAATAGCCAGCTTTGGCGGCGAAACCAACTGTCTCTCAGCAAGGGGAAAAAAGTCCTGCTGAGTCAGGATACCATATTGGGAAAACTCCAATCCTTGCAATGTTTTCTATCGTGAAATCAGAAATCTGGGAGAAAAGTTTATCAAAAAAGGATGAAGAGGTTAATCTCAACCTTTATCAATTTGGGGATTCACTTCTCCTTTAACTTAGGATCTCCCACAATCATATATCCTAAAACAGTGGCCCCCAACTTTTTGGGCACCAGAGACTGGTTCCATGGAGAAAGGTTTTTCCGCGGACTGGAGGGGACATGGTTTTGCATGCTGCCTGCATCCCACTGATGGGGCTTTGCTTGTTTGCATGGCCCAGTTGCTGGCACACTGCAGACTGGTGTCAGTCCACAGACCAGGGGTTGGGGATCTCTGTTCTAGGAGAGAGGTCCCCAACCCCTGGTCTGTGGCCTGGCACCAATCTGCAGCATGCCCAGGTCACATTGCCCAGGTCTCACGAAGTGCAACGGATACTATAACTAGCTTCACTAGATTATTGTTTAGGTTAAGTAGAGTCAACCCTGTAATAACTCTCCCTCCCCCTGCATTCAGCTAGCCTTCAAGAGGAAAACAAATACTAAAAGGGAGACAGATTTCTCCTTTTATAAAAACCCACCTGAGAGGGGAAGCTCAATCTCCTGATCGATTTCTTAGCATTTGGTTTTCCTGGATTTCAGCTGTTTCCACTTATTATCTCAGTTGACAGGTCACCTAACTCTTTTAACCCTTTCAGTGTTTAAATCTCTTGAAGTGAAATTCTCCTTTACCACTCTTTCACTGATACACAAGCAGACCTAGATTTATTCTTTTGATCTCTGAGATGCTTTCCTGAATGAGTTACTCCATATTTCATCTGATCATCTCTCTTTGAGCTGGTCAGTTAAGCTTCTTTCATGCCAGCCCTCATCCAGGGCTAACATCTGAAACTCAGCAGCCTATTCCTACACCACATGCTTATGCTGTAATTGGCAATGGCTTTCACAGTTGGCTGTCACTGGCTTGACCAGATCCTCAAAGTTAGCTCTTAAGCTTACTACAGCATTAGCACAGTTGTCCAAATCTAGGTTGTTCTGAATCACAAGATGTCTTGCCTATTTTACAGTCCTGTTGTCATAATTACACTCATAGGCATGTTCATTTAGTGGGAAAGTTATCTGGTCTCATGTCATGCAGTAGTGGTAGTAGTAGTAGTCTACAGTAGTGGCCAAAATTGTGGAAACTTTTGGGAAAAGTGTATTTTCTAAAACTAGCTAATAACACCATTTTTTTTGGAATTGTACCATAAAATTATATATCAATGGAAAGATAATTCAATCAAGAATGTAATGCAATAACTTTTATGAAGGATTTGATATTAGAATAGCAGTTACAGTATAAAGAAGAAAAGTGAAACATGTAGAAAAAATGAGATATACAAAAATTATCACCATGTCAGTTAATAGTTGGGTAACCTTTAGCATGAATTACGGCCTTACAACATCTTCCCATGGAGTGAACCAAGTCTTTTAGTTCTGGAGCTGTTATAATGTGAAACCAAGATTGAATGATTGCGTCTATTAACTGGGTTTGGTTGCTGGGTCACTTCTGACTAACAAGTTTCTTTAGTCAGCTCCATAGATTTTCAATTGGGTTAAGAACTGGGCTATTCCCAGGCCATTCCAGCAGTGGAATATGATTATCTTGAAACTCCCCCCCAAAAAAGTGGTGTTATTAGCCATCAAACCTCAAAAATACATTTTTCTCAAAAGGTTTCCATAATTTTGGCCATTACTGTATATTCAGTGGGAAAGGCAATACATTTGTTTGGATCCCCATAATTTTTATCCGGCAAAGAGGGTGATTCATATTGCAGGTTCTTGGAGAGGTGTAGAATGTAAGCAAGATAACTTTGATAGAAATATATAAGACCCTACCAAGGCAAAGAGGGCTAAAATGTTTTTTAAGTGCCTGAAGTGGTTTAGGCAAACATTTCCCTGATTGACAGTGGTATTAGAAGAAGGTAAAGCACAATCAGATTTTGTTATTAAAGCTAATATCATTAAAATGTCACTCTAGTCTTCCAACAGAGTTGATTTTCTGAGCTGAGCTACCTATTGGAGCTGAGACTGGGAATGATAATATATTTTGTCCTACTTTGTGGAATTTGGGGTTCATCATCTGGCCTATTTAAATAGCCATTTAATTCTGACCAACACTGGCTGAATTGCAAGAAAGTCTATAGCAATAATTTAATCTTTGGTCATCAGGTGAAGGCTTTCTTTCAGTAGCAATAGAAATAGATAAGAGAGCAAATCCAACTGTAAGGCTTCACCTCAGGACGCTTAAATAAATCTCAGCTCTCCAAATACTTAATCCTTATTCAGCAATTGGGGTAACTTCGTAGAAGACTCTCAGGCACAATTAGATTAGATTAGAATCTTTATTACAGTCAAGAAGGAAGCCGATACACAACAGATTATTTACCCTCTACAGGGCAAAGAAGTCAAATGCTTTATATATGACGATGCTCAAGAGTAAACTCTAAGCTTTTTCCTGATGCCTTTCTGAATACACGGAAATTAGCTATTCTCGTGATGGCCTTGGGATGCAGCTAAACTATGGTATGGCTAAATAAGAATTTTTTATACTCATATACAATTTGTTATATATTTGCTGGTGGGTTTTTTCCCTCCTTTTTTTTTTTTTTTTTTTTGGTAGGGACTGTGTGGTGGGGGAAAAAAATCCATTTTGCAGAAAAGGGTTTTTTTTTTTTAATGGAATATTTCCTCCTAAAAAAAAGAATGCGTTAATGACTGAGCATTCTCAGTATGCTCACAAATGTCTTTAGAGGAAAATTTAGAATAGCTAGGGCAAAGAACGTCTTGAAAAAAACTTTAGCATTTCCAACATTTTAACTATTTAATTTTAAATATCAAACCACAAAAGCCATCCTGCTCAATTGGGCCAAAGCCCTCATTAATAAAGGGTTGTATTCCTCACGATGGCTGACCTGAAGCCTCTAAGGCAGTGATGGTTAACCTTTTTGGTGTGCGTGCATGTGAACCCCAAAATGAATGCAAGCACCCCCCATGCATGCACCCCGTCCCCGTGCATGCACATGCACTTCCTCTGCATGTGCCCCTCCTCCTGTGCATGCACAGCAGAGACCCAAAGACCTGCTGGCCAGTGGGAGGCACATGCACATGCATGCTGGAACTGGGCTGGGACGACAGCTGGCGTGCCCACAAAGAGGGCTTTACATGCCACCTGTGGCATGTGTGCCATAGGTTCACCATCATGGCGCTAAGGTGTTCACAAGCAAGATATGTAGCCATAACCTTCTCATTATTCATTTCCATTTGGTATTTGGAAACATGCTGTCGCCAACCTGGAGGTGCCTTTAAATCTTCAAGACCATTAGCCCTTGATGACCCCAATCTCCATGAAGTTATCCAGTTTCCTTCTAAAGTCATTCTAGTTAGTGACCATTACCATCTATAATGGCTTTTATTGATTTGCTTATAAATAATAACCAGAAAAATAATAAGCAACTACAAATAGCGTTACATCAATAGGTTATTTTTCAAAAATGAAGTTGGAATAAGATCTGATCTTCCTCCTGTACTTTTCAAAAGCTGGTTGATTTTGCATGTCTGATTGTCTGCTGACGTGTGATCACACGCTCAGCAGAATAAAATAATTCTTTTCAGTAGAGTTTTTACAGTGATAAAATTGTTCACAGCTTTCCACCCCCTACCTCAATTCCACTCTTTCCACATATCTTGAGGATTTCTGATTTCCCTACGTCTCAATTTGCCTCAACTCCAATTAACCATGGACATGTTTATGTAGACTTTGTGCATTTATGTGGTATGGTTATAGAACGAGGGTCATTGCTCACTTATATGAAAACAAGGCATGGCATCAGGCTACGTGTATCTTCCCTCTTTGGTTGATTTTTACTTTATTTTAAATCTGCCATTTCCAGATATTTTGCTATTACATTCTGTACTCTAAATGGCATAAAGAGGACAGCAGGCCATTGTCTATTATGCTTTGGAACTGGTTTCTGGTTCATGAAATGTTAACTTCTGGTTCCAGCTGCTTCCTACAGTCACACTTTTGCTGAACTATCTCCTGACTCAGTTAGAACCATAACATTTCTCTTCTTTTTTTTCTCAGAGAAGTGAAGGGCTGGGGTGTATCTGTGAGTTGAACAATATTACTTTTAATTAGGATAATAGTCTGCTGTATCATTAGTCACGCAGGAACTTCAAGGAGACTTTTGGTATAGGAGAACCTCTGGGTCAATATCACAGTGGACCACACAAATTTGCACATTTTCTGCTGCGTAGTAAAACACAATGCTTTGTCCTGTTTAATCAGGGGGGGTGGGGAAGTTTCACACAGTGGTTATTTACACGAAATGGGCTGTCTCCCCAAGGAGCATTTCTTGAACCTGATTTTTGTACAAACGTGGTCAGACAAGAGCAATTTCTCATTTGGGGAATCAAAAATGGAATTTAAATGTCGTGAAAGTCATTTGCAGTACAATTTCTTTATTCTCTGGCTAACAAGGTTAAAACTCCTTTGAGTAACTTTAGTGCCTTGTGAGGTGTATGTTGTTTTCTTGGCAATGATATGGAAGTAGCTCACCATTGCCCTTTTCTGCATTGCTTTAAATTTCCCAGTGATCTATAGTCCTAAATTTTCCTGATACTTTCTCATCTAACTATTAATCCCCTTTTTTTTTTTAGATCAGCCACAGTCATCTAGATGCTGCTACCTGTTCTGACAAGATAGCTGATGTTTTTCCATGAAGTACTGGAGGAAGCAACTTAAATCTTTCAGAAGCTTCAAATTTTACTTATTATCAGCGTCAAACCGGGCAACCAATGGCAAGTGATTGTGATTTCTCCTTTCCAAAATATTTGGAGCAGACTACATTGCCTATTCCTAATGCAACCATAGTGGCTGAGTGGCTAAGACACTGAGCTTGTTGATCGAAAGATTGGCAGTTCAGTGGTTTGAATCCCTAGTGCCGCGTAACAGGGTGAGCTCCCATTACTTGTCCCAGCTTCTGCCAACCTAGCAGTT